ATCCCCCCGATTTACCTTAGAGAAGGCAGGGGGCCGACCGCGTTCCAGGCTGGAGCCGCCGGGCCGGGTGGCAGCTTCGCCGGTCCAGCGGCACTGGTGTCTGAAGGAGGAAGAGCCTGTCTACCATGCTCCCTCGCGGTTCCCACAATTCCCAGCACAAGAACCGTGAGGGAGCATGGTAGACAGGCTCCTCCTCCTTCAGCCCTCAGCCACAGCAGTGACTGGAGTGCCGCCGGACCGGCGAAGCTGCCACCCGGCCCGGCGGCTTAAGCCTGGAACGTGGCCGGCCCCCTCCGAGTGCCACCGGACCAGAAATTTCCCGGTATCCCGGTGGGCCAGTCCGGCCCTGGTCCTCAAGTTCCAGCAACAGTACAGGGTTTGTCAGTATAGCTATTGGGATTAAACAGAGTAATACATTAATCTTGGACTGTTGGTGGGCCATGAGAACTTCTTTGGGAACCACTGTTCTGGTGGATAAAATGAAACCTTGAAGTATGTGATTTAAATATGTATGTTATTCAGATGAAGATACCATACACGCACATCATATTTGGACATCAAGTTCAATTTTAGATAGGTAATAGCATACAGTTGTATAGAAACATAGAAACATAGAAACATAGAATGTGACGGCAGATAAGAACCATTCGGCCCATCTAGTCTGCCCAATTTTCTAAATACTTTCATTAGTCCCTAGCCTTATCTTATAGTTAGGATAGCCTTATGCCTATCCCACGCATGCTTAAACTCCTTTACTGTGTTAACCTCTACCACTTCAGCTGGAAGGCTATTCCATGCATCCACTACCCTCTCAGTAAAGTAATACTTCCTGATATTATTTTTAACCTTTGTCCCTCTAATTTAAGACTATGTCCTCTTGTTGTGGTAGTTTTTCTTCTTTTAAATATAGTCTCCTCCTTTACTGTGTTGATTCCCTTTATATATTTAAATGTTTCTATCATATCCCCCCTGTCTCGTCTTTCCTCCAAGCTATACATGTTAAGATCCTTTAACCTTTCCTGGTAAGTTTTATCCCGCAATCCATGAACCAGTTTAGTAGCCCTTCTCTGAACCCTCTCTAAGGTATCAATATCCTTCTGAAGATACGGTCTCCAGTACTGTGTACAATACTCCAAGTGAGGTCTCACCAGTGTTCTGTACAATGGCATGAGCACTTCCCTCTTTCTACAGCTAATACCTCTCCCTATACAACCAAGCATTCTGCTAGCATTTCCTGCTGCTCTATTACATTGTCTGCCTACCTTTAAGTCATCAGAAATAATCACCCCTAAATCCCTTTCCTCATATGTTGAGGTTAGGACTCTATCAAATATTCTGTACTCTGCCCTTGGGTTTTTACGTCCAAGATGCATTATCTTGCACTTATCCACATTAAATGTCAGTTGCCACAATTCTGACCATTTTTCTAGTTTACCTAAATCATTTGTCATTTGGCTTATCCCTCCTGGAACATCAACCCTGTTACATATCTTAGTATCATCAGCAAAAGACATACCTTACCATCAAGACCTTCTGCAATATCACTAATAAAAATATTAAAGAGAATGGGTCCAAGTACAGATCCCTGAGGTACCCCACTGGTGACAAGTCCAAGCTTCGAATATATTCCATTAACTACAACCCTCTGTTGCCTGTCACTCAGCCACTGCCTTACCCATTCAACAATATTGGAATCCAAACTTAAAGATTGCAGTTTATTGATAAGCCTTCTATGTGCAACAGTGTCAAAAGCCTTACTGAAATCTAGGTAAGCAATGTCTACTGCACCACCCTGATCTATAATTTTAGTTACCCAATCAAAAAAATCAATAAGATTAGTTTGGCATGATCTCCCTGAAGTAAACCCATGTTGTCTCTGATCTTGAAATCCATGTGTTTTTAGATGTTCATCAATCCTATCCTTTAACATGGTTTCCATCACTTTCCCCACTACTGAAGTAAGGCTTACTGGCCTATAGTTGCCCGACTCCTCCCTATTACCTTTCTTGTAAATGGGCACAACATTCGCTAACTTCCAATCTTCTGGGACTACTCCTGTTAACAATGATTGTTAAATAAATCTGTTAATGGTTTTGCTAGTACACCACTAAGCTCTTTTAATAGCTTTGGGTGTATTCCATCAGGTCCCATTGACTTATTTGTCTTTACTTTTGACAGTTGAAATAGAACCTCTTCCTCTGTAAACTCACGTGTAATAAATGACTCATTTATCCTTTTTCTCAACTGAGGTCCTTTCCTTCATTTTCATCTGTAAATACAAGAACAAAAATATTCATTGAGGCAGTCAGCTAGACCTTTATCCTCTTCTACATACCTTCCTTCTTTTGTTTTTAATCTAACTAATCCTTGTTTTACTTTTCTTTTCTCATTTATGTATCTAAAAAATGTTTTATCCCCTTTTTTACTGACTGTGCTATTTTCTCTTCTGTGTGTGATTTGGAAGCTCTTATAACTTGCTTAGCCTCTTTCTGCCTAATCTTATAGATCATTTTGTCTCCCTCACTCTGGGTTTTTTTATAATTCCTAAATGCTAACTTTTTGTTTTTAACTATTTTGGCCACATCTGCGGAGTACCACAGTGGTTTCTTGAATTTTTTGCTTTTACTGACAAGCCTAATGCAATTTTCTGTTGCCTTCAATAGTGCAACTTTTAAATAATCCCATTTTTCTTGGACTCCATTTAAATTGCTCCAGTCTGATAATGACTCCTCTACCCATATTCTAATTTTAGAAAAGTCTGTTTTTCTAAAGTCTAAAACTTTTGTTTTTGTGTGGTGTGACTCAGTCACTGTTCTTATATTAAACCACACTGACTGATGATCACTGGATCCTAAACTTTCACCTACAGTAACATCTGATACCAAATCTCCATTTGTTAACACTAAATCTAGTATGGCCTCTTTACGAGTTGGCTCCTCAACAACTTGTTTTAGAGACAATCCCAGTAGGGAGTTTAGAATCTATATATTGCACTATCGTTAATGTAAAAAAATTATATAAGGTTATTTAACAAAGTGTAAGGAATTCAAACTGAATTCAAAGTTATTATCAAATTTAAGCAAAATAGTTTTTTAGATGTCAATATGTCATTAGGAGAAATATGTGCATGCAACTGTCAGTGGCCACCATATATGTAGCCTTTTTAATTATGTCTACAAAATAAATTTAAGAATTACTTTTCAACATTGTTGATAGTTTGGCTAACATAATGTGCTCGTGGAATGCCATTCCCTATAAAGTGGAAAATCCTCTTTATGAAAGAAAGGCCAAAACACAAGTAATTGACTGATGTTAGGGAAATTACAGAATAACCATCCTATTTTAAAACTTGAGTCTGCACAAAATAATAACCCTACTTAGGGCTAATGCAAGACCATTATGCACCCTAGGCAATGCCACCTACTTGAACCGCCGCCCCCCCCCCCCTAAAATGCAAACTTTGTGTCTGTCTCCCCCACTTGCCCCTTCATTGTATCTCTTTGTTCCCCTCAGCCCCTGTGTGTGTCTTTTTCCCTACAGCCCCCATGTGTGTATATTTGTCCCCCCGTCCCTCTGTGTGTTTTTGTCTCCCCAGCCTTTTGCCTCTGTATGTCTCTTTCTCCCCACTGCCCTTCTGTGTGTCTCTCTGTCCCCATCAGTCCATCTCTGTATCTCTTTGCCCCCCTTTCCCCTCTGTGAGTTTGTCTCCCAAGGGCTACTTTGTGGCTCTTTGTTCATCCCCCTTCCCCCCCCGCCCACCAAGTCCCTCTGGTACTCTTTGTCCTGCCAGCCCTTCTGTATATCTATTTGTCACCCAGACCCTCTGTGTGTCTCTTTGTCCCTACAACCTAGTCCTGTTCCCACTCTAGGTTTATAGCCTTCTGTATGTCTCCTAGTCCCCGCTCTGCCCCTTGTGTGTCTCTTTGCCTTCCTGCCCCTTTGTGTGTCTCTTTGTCCCCCAACCCTTCTGTGTGCCTCTTTGTCAGTCCTTTTATGGTGTCTTCCCCCTTCTGCAGTGCCAGCTTACTTCCTTGTACCGTGGCCGAGCAGACTGTGATGGAGGATCTATTGTTTCCTCTACCCGGTCTGACAAAAAAAGATGTTTTGTGCTCCAACTGAGCACTTCCTGTAAGACCTGGAACAGAATACAGAAGATCCTCTGCCCATGGTCTGCTCAACCACGCTACATGCACTAAGTGGCAGGGCTGTGCACTCCCCACCTGACGGTCACCTGGAGACTTCGCAGCTGCCTAATTTGCCTGGTGGTTGCACCAGGCCTGGCGCTATCATTTAATTATTCACTGGTAAGTAAACCATGTTACTGGTTTTGCGTTTTTGTTGCTTTGTCTAAATTTTATTTCGCTGTCTGAAATTTTCAATACTTTAAGAAATATATATATTTTTTTATTGTTCAGCAAACAATAGCATGCTATAGTAATTAGGTCAGTCGTCTGTTTGGCAACAAATAATAGCTTTGACAAACCTGTTTCACAAGGAAATGTTACACCTGTGTTTTTTCTTTTTCTAAAGTGTTCCAGTAGCAACATTGACCTCAGTTTAATTTATCAACTATTTTTATCTGATTAAAAAAATAAATATATATATATATATATATATATACACATTTTAAAATTTATCTTGATTTAAAGGGACTCTCCAGTGCCCCCCTCCCTCTGTTAAAACCCCTTCAGCTACTTACCTGAATCTAGCGCCGATGTCCCTCAGCTCTGGGTCAGGCTCTGCCCATGCTCCTCCCCTGCCAACGTCAGCCTGCAGGGGAGACCTAATGCGGATGCGCGGCAATGGCTCCGTTCGAGCGCATTAGACCTCCCCATAGGAAAGCATTATTCAATGCTTTCCTATAGGGAAAATCTGACACTGGAGGTCCATAAGGACCTCCACCGTCAGATAACAGACCAAAAGTCAGTTTGGATTCCGGAAGCCCTCTAGTGGATGTCTGGCAGACAGCCACAGAGGCCAGATTTAGGGCTGCAATGTAAATATTGCAGTTGTCTGGAACTGCAATGTTTTACATTGCAGCACTAAGTGCATAAGGGCCACAGTACCCAGACCACTTCAATTAGCTGAAGTGGTCTGGGTGCCTGGAGTGTCCCTTTAATGCAAGCCTAAATTAAAGCAACTGGATCTGATAAATGGGTCAAGTGCTCGAAAAATAGGTATCATAATTTTTTGGCAGGACAGGAGGCTTTATATTTGCTTTACCCTCTTTACTGAAACCTCCAGCAACAAAGAAATTTTCAAAACAACCAAACAGAACAAAACAACAGCAGTATAAAAACACTAAGCAGGCCCTTCCACTTCCTCTTTCTTTGCTGCTGCCTCCAGGTGAGCACTCACCAACTCAGAGTTTTCTCTGCTCTGGGTTGTTTTTTCTCCTGCCTGATGTTTGTTTATTTAAGCTTGGTTTTTTTTGCGGCCATTTTGTTGGAGCCGCAGCGGCCATTCTTTGGGAGCCGCATGGGCTCCATGCGTTTCAAACAGCCCGGTCTCACCCACCAAGCTACCCTGCTGCTTGCTGGCCATGTGGCCTGCCTCCCTTCTCCCTGTATCAGGGGAGATAGCCCAGTTTTCCACTAATCCTCTACCTACTGTGCCTGTCTCTTCCTCAGCTCACAATTGCATCTTACTATGCTGTTTGATGCAATGTGATTATGTTCTTTATCTTAGCAGTAGACTTGTCACTGTTATTCCCTATATAAATGTGAATTTCAGATTTAAAGGGGCATGCCACAGCTCAAATAAAAATAATTGTTTAAAAAGATAATGCCACATGTGATATATGCTAATCAAGTTTTTCTTAAGGTTCAGTCTTTTTCTCATAAAATTAAATGGCCCGTTTTCAGCATCCAGCTCCCCTGTCTAGGACTTTCTGCCCTTCCTGCAGGGGACTTCAGTTTTTTCCACTATACATAGACTACAACAGTGTATCCTAATATGGCTGATTTTACTCTGTGGCTGTGTAGGGCAGTTCGCCATGCCCTAGGCCACCTGAGTGGTCTGTAGACGTGGTTAGTCACCTTCAATCTGTATGGACATGATGCATATGTAACAGAGCCTGGATAGCAGGATCTGTCCCAGGCACTCCATTCTACCCCTCAGGGGGGCTGATTGACTCCCCATTCAACCATGTTATTACAGGGGGGTGACCCCCCCATCTATATTTATGGGGCACTGCCCTCTGCTGGACCATAATAATGGACGTGTGACACCATTGTGGGCCGGGTGACCCCCTCCCTCTGGCAACATGGCTACCGATGAAAACCCTACTGGCTCTACAGCACCCTGTAGTATAAGTGCTGAGGGTGACCCCTTCCTGCTTCCTACACTAATGCACTGGCAATGTCCTGTTATTATCATACTGAGGGTGAACCCCTCCTACAAGCTACACTGCTGGACTGGCAGCGTCCGGGTATACCCATAAGGATGGTACCCCTCCCACTGATTGCGCTACTGTTCTTACAGTGCCCTGCTATATGCAATACTGAGGACGACCCCCTCCCGCTGACTGCTCTACTGGGTGTACAGACCCCTATGATACCCACACTGAGGGTGACCCCCTCTTACCTACTGCACTGCTGGATCTGCAATGCCCAGTTATGATTATATGAGGGTGACCCCCTCTTGCCGTCTGCACTGCTGGGCCTGCAGTGCCTGGTTATTTTATTATACGGCTAACCACTACGGCACTACTGTACCTACAGTGTCCGATTATATCCAGACTGCCGGCCTATACTGCATGGTATGCTTGTGCTTATTGGGTGACCCCCTCTTGCACGGTATGTGACCCCCAGCTGCTCGCACCAGGTATCACATCGACAGAGTTACCTCTATGGCAGTTATGCAATCACGACTGACGGCCAAATTTCCCGTACCCAGAAGGCCGCTGGGCCTGTCCTCATGCCGCCCTGCTGGCCTCACTGCCATAAACCCTAGAGGCGTCCATTCTGGCTCACTCCGAAGTTTGCACTGCTGGGCGAAGGGTGCAGTAGAGTGGACTCGCGCCCCGTTCCCGTGCTGCACGCTCCCAATGCATATGTCGCCTGTTGACACTTCGAGACGGAGGGCACTCATCCCCTCAGAGAGCTGTTCTGCGTGGACAATTGGTTCTCTCTCTCAACTGGGCATGAGAAAACTGCATGGATTTTGCCATCAACGTGGACATATTGGATCTGACTCACTTCCAGTCAGCCCAGTTTCTGGTTTTCATGGAATACACAGGTCACACTTAGGGGCCTAACCCGGTCGATTGATCATTTGTTATCCACCATGGAGGCCATACCTCCAGGATCAGGACCAAATCATGCCTCCATTCCGACACCGGTGGAATGGACGGGGGCATTGCCTGCGATGGCATGACGACAAGAGGACTCTGGATTCCAGAGGACGGACCTCTTCACACTAACTGCATGGAACTACCTGCAGGTTTGTTTGCTGTTCGCAGCTTCTATCAATATCGTCTGGACAAGTATTTGTCATTTGGTCTGATGACAAGGACTTGCTTTTGCACCAGTTTTTCTGCTTAACGGTGACCCCAGTATGTCTTGTACTTTTCATCGCGTTCTGACATTCGTGGTGTTGATGTAGTGTCTTTTTCCTTCTCACTGTTCGGTGCGTCGGTCTCTGCTCCACACAAATATGATTTATATTCGTCTCCTGTGTTGTACCCCTATTCTCCGGATAGGCCACGGCCATGGGCAACCGCAGGAATATTTCCGGGGGGGGACATAATTGTAATGACATCCATGCTTTGCCCCTTTTTGGAAAAAAATGTATGCCAGCCCCATAAGTCATTGTGCCATTTTGTGTGTGTATGTGTGTGTGTGTGTGTGTGTGTGTGTGTGTGTGTATATATATATATATATATATATATATATATATATATATATATATATATATATAGATAGTGTGTGTGTGTGTGTGTATATATGTAAATAGTATAATAGATATTATTGGTATGTTTCTTTTTCTAATTCAAAACATTGGTTCTGTCAGTGTAAAAAAATGTAATTATACAGTAAGCATACTCACATGCAGACAGACAATCTCACTGACACAAGCACACAGACTCACTGATACACAGCTTCACAGACCGACAATCTCATTGATACATATAAGCTCATTGACATAAAAACACAAGCTCACTGATACACATTTATAGGCTCACTGACATACACAGACAAGGTTGCTGGTACACACATACACACACACACACACACACATACAAACTCTGTCACTCACACGGTTACTACAGACAAACTCATTGGTATACAAACACAAACTTACTATAGACAAGCCTACTGTCACACACACACACACGCGCTCACTACAGACAAGCTCACTGACACACATACACATGCTTATTATAGACAAGCTCACTGACACACATGCTCACTACAGAAAAGCTCACTAACACACACATACATGCTCACTACAGAAACGTTCACTGACACACACATACATGCTCACTACAGAAACGCTCACTGACACACATGTTCACTACAGACAAACTCACGGACACACACATGCTCACTACAGAAAAGCTCACAGACACACACAAGCTCACTTACAGACAAGCTCACTGTAGTGGGGGGGTCAGGGCCAGTAGTGCGGTGGGTCTGGGTCTGTAGTAGGGGGGTCATGACCTGTAGTGTGGGATCAAAGGCTGAAATGGGGGGGCAGGGGGATCAATAGGAAGGGTGGGGGGGGGGAGGGGAGGTCAGGACCTGTGGTGAAAGGTGAGGGGTAGTAAGGGGGTCAGGACCTGTAGTGCAGGGGTCAGGACTTGAAGTGGGGGATCATAGGCAATAAAAGGGATTAGGGGCTGTAGTGGGTGCTTAGTGGCAATAGTGTGGGCTTAGAACCAGGTGAGAGAGCCATGGACTGTGGTTCTGCCTAAAACTGAACATAGCCTGGTTCACTAAACAGTGAACTGGGCTATGTGAAACTGATAGCTGCTGTGGCACTATCTGTGTGGTAAATATATATACAGAATGTGAGTATTTACCCCACACACCTGTCTTTGTCACCACTTACTTTGTCACTACACTACACCCCCCCCCCCAACTGTACCTCTGCCTCCATTAATCATTTTTTAATCTCTTCCTTCTCAAGCCCCCACTTTTATTTGTTTTAACTTGCCTATTACTTGAGTCTCTTGTCTACACCAGCCCTTGAGCAGCATGCCTCTGCAGTAATCCTACCCACAGTGTTTCCTCCTGCAAGCAGCTCCTCCTACACATGCTGGGAGCACACAGCATGCTGTAGAAGGAAGAAGGGATGTCACTCCCTATCTCCTCCTCGTATTCTGCTCTAAGCTCTCCTCCCTGCACACAGAGAGCAAGACCTGGCAGGGAGGCTTCTAACACTGCCAGGTCTAGCTCTATAAAGGATAAGGGTGGGGTTGATACTTCACTGGTCAGAGATCTTTTGATCTCCCTGCCGGCTCAGCAGCAGGCTCTTTTCTGCAGCACCTCCAGTGAGCTGGGAAGGGCTGACCCTGGGGGAGGAGGCAAGCTGAAAAATCCAGGGGGGGGGGGCAAGTGCCCCCTCTTGCCCCTCCCTGTGGACGCCCATGACCACGGCTCTGACAGGTTGTACACGACCATGTAGATCCAGGATATCGTTCTTTCGTCTGCCTACTCATGGACAGCTGTTGATTTTGGCATATGACCGTTTAGGACTGTTTCTGCATCTTCGATCGCCCGTTGGATTAGGTGGATCTTTTCATTGGCTGACCTTTAGAGTTCCTCTGGGACACATTTGGTTCGGGTGCTGCCACCTCAACAACTTTGGAAGGCGTTGGGTCCCTTCTAGATGTTCTCTACTCCGCTGCTTGGTCTATGGAATCGGTTTTCCGTCTTATTCAGTCCTCTAGCTCATATTGCTTCTGGGGTTTTTTTTGGGTGTTAAATTTGCAAATATGAAGCCTCCTGCCATAAAATTAGGGATTATTCTCGCCTCTGTGAGGGAATAATCTAAATTTTATTAAAGACAGGAGGTGAATATTTCCTCCCCTTTATGTTCCCTCCCTGTAATTGGGTCTTATTCTATTATATTAATTGGGGATATTGTTAGGTTTTGTGAATGCATGCTTTTACATAATAAAGGTTTATTTCTTATACAGTGACGTTTGTCCGTGTGCGTTTTATTCATCATTTCTGTGTTGTAATTATATTCCGACAATGTCGTTTAGTTTAGGTACATACTAGATACAGGGTCTTCATAAGATCTGTATACTTTGTTTATTCATCAGGTATTATGATGTGCACGTGATATTGTATGGATATGACATCTTGCTTTGACAGTTTACTTTCACAATGTTTTCTTTTTCTTGCAGTGTAATCTATTTTTCCTCTGGGTTTGACGATTGTTTCTCTGGATGTGCATGCTACAAGGTGGATTCGTTGGCTTCCTGGCTCTCCTGCTCGACCTCATCAAAGAAAGAGGAAGTGGGAGGGTCTGCCTAAGTGGCTTTATACTGCTGTTGTTTTGTTCTGATTGGTTGTTTTGAAAAGTTCTGTTAACTGTTTCTTTGCTGTTGGAGGTTTCAGTAAAGAGGGTAAAGCAAATATTCACCTCCTGTCTTTAATAAAATTTAGATTATTCCCTCACCGAGGCTAGAATAATCCCTAATCACTACTGATACATGTGCATTAGAAGCAATTAGTAAATAGTCAATAAAAAATAAATAAAATTAAATACAAGTCTATAGGGGCAATATGACTGCCATATTATAACGTACGCTTTGAACCTCCCTCATGCCCACACCATCCATGCTGCGGATATGGGCGTGTCAACTATATAGGAACAGCCAACGGCTGTAATAATAAACTGGAGGCTGTTAACATAAAACAAGGGCTTAGCACAGGTCTCCCGCATGTTCCGACCTGAGAGCATTAGAGTTGGGGTGGACAGATTACTGTCCACATGAATAAAGTGAGGGGACACAGTGTCCCGCTGTGCCCCCACAGTGGCGCTATAAATAAATAATGAAGCTGTGGGACATTGTGACCCCTTGTGCCACATTACTGGCCAACAGTTGGGCTATTAAAATAAATAGGGAGACCAAACCAAATAACGTGCATTGCTCTTGAGATATATGTAACAAACAAAAATACTCACATGCCATAAAGAATAAAACCAAATACCAAACAAAACGTGGTAAACGTTATGCTTCTTAATTAACATGTGTACTCTTCCCTAATTCTCTGAATCTCCCTGATTTATGTTGGTGGATGTAAGAACCCAGTAATATGAAGAAAGTAATGTAATAGACTGGAGTATTGGAAACTGAGAGAGACAGTAGAGGGAAGGAAATGGTGAAGAAGAAGAAGAAAAGAGAGGGTAGAAAATTTAAATAAATTATATAAGAAAATAATTAAATATACCAAAAAGAAAAGAAGTGAGCTAATGGAGAAATTTTGTCTTTTGCAAAAAAACAAAAACAAAAAAAGATGAGGGGTATCCCAGGTAATTGCAAAGTAACTAACTATGGAGCAAACTGTTAATTTTACCAAAGAGATTCATGCAATTAAAAAAGAAAACACTTTTAATTCAACAAAGGATTTAATTTTTGTTTAAAGGATAAACTAGCTAAATGATCAATAGGACAAATGAAAGTGCATTTACTCGATATCAAAGTGTTTTCGAATCAAATGGTAACTAAGCACTGGCTTGTCAATTTGCAAATCGCATTTGGGGGAAGCATTTCTGCAGGTACAGAAGGCCACTCACTGATTGCATGAAACATTTTTAGTATATGTTATACGTTATAGAGTATATGTTTTCTTAGTTTGTCTTATAATATAGTATAAAACTTAGATAAAGAAATGTTTAAAAAAAAAAAAAAAGAGTCGCCGTTGTCAGCAGCAACCTGTCATCTCAACCAACACCCCGGAGGGGAAGGTCTTGACAAGCGAAAACCGCAGAGCCCGAGGAATGGTGAAGCTGGCCCTTTATGTGGGTTTGGGACTGGAGGAGAGTACACCTTCGACATCAGTCTGCAGCCAGTCCCAAGCAGGATTTCCCTGATAGTGCCATGTTTTTGCCACCTATGGGGGTCGCATGAACCCAGCATTTAGCTCACCACTAGAGATATAGGCCCCTCTTAAAATGGCGAACTGCACCTTCTCTGCACTCTTTTTTCTTTTTTTTCTTTTTCTTTTACATGTCTACCTACTATTGGCTACTCTCTTTGTCTGGTGCAGCATTATAATACTTAGTCTAGTTCCAGGGGTTCACTCACTTGCATTTAAATGCTAAATCAGTGGTTAATTTGCCTAGTCCCAGCAATATGCCCAGTGGTCATATCTAAAACATATTTGCATGTCTGATTAGCCTGTTATTACCATTTTTTTTTTAAATTGTGCTATTATTTCAATGCCATGTTTCTGTATTACTCTGTTTGGTATTATTGAGCCTACTTTTACTGCTGTGGCATAACAAGCTCCATTGTTATCTTATGCAGAGAAAAAATAAAGAATTAAATAAATAAATAAAGTCCAAAGATAATAAAGTAATGACTAGCTACTGAAACCCCAGTAAACTGCACCAATAATCATACACTTCGAGGGCACCTCACGAAGAGTCAACATTCTGTGCCTTCAGAGGGTACCTATCAACTAAACCGTGCCAAGCTGAAAACCTAGCAACTGTGCCTTCGAGGGCACCTATACACTTTAGAAAATATATCTATATCTCTGCAATACACATTAAAGTATTCAAAAAATACAGCTTAGGAAATAAATGTAGAAATATGCCAAACAACCATAGTGTATACTATACCCTGAGAAAATAAATAAATATCAGTTTGCAGGAGTAGCTAGTAATTAGATAGAGACCCAGTTAGGCTGCCCATTCAATAAATAAATATTTCCTCCATATTTCATGTTGCAGAGCAGGAAAAACATCTCACTGTAAGTTGCCCAGGCACAGTCTGAGTTGGACAGAGTACAAAGAGCTAGCTGGGCCCACCAGGAGGACTAGGGAGGCCACTAATCCCTGTCAATCAAATTGTATACTTAGCATTTGATTCTGGAGTAGGTGAGAAAACCTTCTAGACTTCTCATTTCCTTTATGGCATTTACCCAGGTACCAAAAGGTATGTTCATGTTCTCTGCCCAGTGGGATTTTTAACCCTTCTCAATATAATACTGTAAATATCCAAAGCCAGGTAGAAGGGGCCTTGGGACATTTGACTGTTCCTAATAAGGGGAGTTAAGGAGATGTTTACACGAATGTTCATAATCTCACTAGGTACATTGGAAGCACATATGTGAATATGCTGCAAACAGTAGACTTTTGCAAGGCAGAAGTAATTGTGTAGGTCAGATCACTTTGTCTGTAATTAAATATTTTTTTGGCATGGCAGAGTTTGGTGCATGCGTTGCTTCAGCTCATCAGAATTGTATCTGCCGAATGCCGAATCTGCCGAAAGAGATTCAGTAACAGGACTTAGATGAACCAGATGACATACTGTATACTGTACATTTTCCCACAGATCAAGTGACAAAGAGAAGAGGGTAAAAGCAGAGAAACAGTAAAAAAGAAATCTACATATATAATAAATACATAAAGATTTTTGTTTTTTACTACTTTAATGGTCGCTTCTCGCGATCAATCAATGAATCAATCAACAAAATCAATATACAAAATGTTACTGGGCACTTAAAGAGAAACCCTTAAATTACAGTGCACAAACAACAATTCTAGGTTTTGTTTTGGTTCAGTAATTGGACAATGGTCTCTGTTCTTAAAGGGGCACGCCAGACCCATCAAGCAAAAGGGGCACTCCACACCCATAAAGGACTTGCTGAAAAGCTTTATATGTGAGTGCACTATTTTTTTCATTTTGAAAAAAGTGGAAATTTCAATAGAAATTGAAACTCTTATAAATTAACCTGGTTGCATCCCCTATGCAGTTGATCAGACAACTGGTCCAGTTACCTCCTGGTGTGGTTATCTCAGTGGAGCTAAACTCAAGAGGCAGGTCATTGCCTAGAGCACATGCCTTGCAAACACTTCTCATTGAGTTGCATTGGGGAGTCTGTGATTGGACAGGCACAAAAAGTATTGGCTGAGTTAGAAGGGGAGGGCATGCAAAGGCAGCAGACAAACTGCAGGTTTTGCAAGCTGTTTTAAATATACCCCCAATTAAAAAATGCATAGTTAAATGCATGCACATTTTCACTTGGGGTATATCTACTAAACAGTGATTTCAAAAATATATCTATTTTTGTATTTGGGCAGTGGAGTGTCCCTTTAAGTGGATAATATATATTGTAACCAGCATATTTGCTGGTTAGCTTACTAGTACAATCAATAGATTAAATATCTATGCCTAGATTTTTTGTGGATGACATGTATTCCGTTAAGCTTGAATGTACGATAAGATTTACTGGGGATTAACTTGACTGTGGTCAATATAAGTCTACTATACATGCTATTGAATTATATCGCTAATCTCTAAGGAATACCATTTGGGATCCTTGTTATATCAGGCTCTAATATTAACCCTTTAAGGACCGGCCTGTTTTTGCGATGTTGTACGTTAAGGACCAGGCCTCTTTTTACACTTTTGTGGTGTTTGTGTTTAGCTGTAATTTTTGGCTCTCTCATTTACTGTTCCCATTCAAATTATATATTGTTTTTTTCAGGACAAAAAGGGCTTTCTTTACATACCATTATTTATATAATCACATGTAATTTAATTTAAAATAAAATAAAAATTATGGTGAAAAATTGAAAACAATACATGTTTTTTGACTTTTACTTGAAAAATATTTTACTCACCTACAAAAGCTAATGAAAAAAACTGCTAAATAGATTACAACTTTTGTCCTGAGTTTAAAAATACCCAGTGTTTACATGTTTTTTTTTGTGCAAGTTATAGGGCTATAAGCAGGGCCAGATTAAGAGCCCAGTGGGCCTGGTGCTGACAATTATGATGGGCCTAATTACAAAATCTTATTGACCAAAAACACTAAAACAGTCCTAACTCCTAAGCGTCATGTATCTGATGGAGATGGTGCTGGAGGGAAACTCATAGGATGCAGCTATGAGAAAACACATACCCTATGCTAATCTCACACTTTCATCTTTCAAGTAAACCCGTCCCATACCATACCCCCTAACAGCAGTGTCCAGTAAAGCACGAAGCAGAGGTAAAAGGGTGGGCCACTGACACAAATCAGAACTGCCGAAAGGGGCGAACATACACAAAAAGGGGGCATGTCTGTGTCCCCATGTCTCTCAGGTCCCTTAGTGTCTGTGTCCCTATGTCTCCCAGTGTTCCCATGTCACTGAGACATTGGGACACTGGGAGACATGGGGACACCAAGATACTAGGGAACACTGGGAGACCTAGGGACACTGAGACTCCCGGGGACACTGGGTGACTTTGAGAAATGAGGGGACACTGGGAGACATGGGACACTGAGACACTGTGATACATAGGGGACACTGTGATATACAGGAGACACTGGGGACTTGATAAAGACATGAGTATAGGTCAAAACATTGCGCTGTCCAATAAACCTGCTTA